CATCCCAGTACATCTGTGCCTAACCCAAATAGCACAAGGGCTATATCTTTAATGCTGCATTTTCAAAAGTCTTAAAAATGATTCTGAGATTAGGAAATTATTAGATTAGATATTTTCAAATGCCACCTTTCTTATTTTTTTTTTAAATAAATAACTCAATGTGGCACCTAATACTCCTTCCTCCTTCTATTTTGCTCAGAGTTGGACTGAGAGAGTGTGAATGGCCCGAAGTCAACTAGCAAAATTGAGCAACTGGCATTTATTAAACTTGCAAAACAATCCTATCTGCCAAGATATGATTCAATCAAATGATCTAGAAAATGACAGGTTATCAGATATGGCAATTGGATAAGTGCAGTTTTGAAGCATATAACAGGACAATGTTCAAACAGCTCATCAGGTCAAGAATAGATCTCAGTTTTTATCATTATGATGGTTCTATAATGAATATCTGGATCTCTAATATGGGGGTTTGGACCTGGTCCACCAAGTTGAATTTAACAAAAATGTGTTAACAAGGCCTCAGTCAATCCATTTCCAATCTCTTCACACATATTGCAAAAATAAAAGGATGTCTACTGACTATAATATTTATTAGTTTCCTCATTTTGGGAACCTCTAGATGTGCTGGACGAAAGCTCCCATCATCCTCACACAGAATCCCCATCCATCTGTCCATCCAAAGACTTTCATATCCATCTCATCTGATCTGATTGGACCTGGTTGCATAAACAAGTTCACTTTAGATATTTGAATATTTAGGGCAGAATTCTATGGCTATCCTGCTCCCCAAAAGACATGATGTAGATATAAATAGTGTCTAGAGCAGTGGGTCTCAACCTTCCTAATGCCGCGACCCTTTAATACAGTTCCTCATGTTGTGGTGACCCCCAACCTAAAACCATTGAAAATATGTGTTTTCCGATGGTCTTAGGCGACCCCTGTGAAAGGGTCATTCGACCCCAAAGAGGTCCCGACCCACAGGTTGAGAACCACTGGTCTAGAGGGTGCCAGACCAGGCAGATTGATTTAAAGTTTTTTAAAAAAAAAAAAAAAACACACACAGGCATCACTTTGAACTGAGCTCAGAATCCAGTAAACAGCCAGTGCTGATGATACATTATTGGAACTATCTGCCCAATCATTCACAAATATCTCAGCTAGCTACAAGCATATACATAGTATAGTTCAGGGGTCTGCAACCTTAAACACTCAAAGAGCCATTTGGACCTGTTTCCCACAGAAAAGAAAACACCGGGAGCCACAAAACCCTTCCGGTGCCTGACTATTTCTTGAGTGGCCACAAAAGTAGCATATGTAGTTGAATTAAACATTCTGTTTTCTTCTGAAACTTTTCTTTTCTTAAATTTATCCATGGTTGGCCTACCGGAGGTTGAAAAGCTCAATAAATCGTGTGCCGGTGGGTGTTGCACATTGGCAGTTGTGATGCATATTTTGAGTGACAAGGAGCCACAGCAGAGAGGTGAAAGAGCCACATGCAGCTCCAGAGCCATAGGTTGCTGACCCCTGGTATAGTTGAAGGTTCTAGTCTTCATGGGTAGCCTCTTGGTGATAGTGTGAGCAACCTAGAGGTCAACCCTAAACAATTGCAATTAGGTAGTGTATCAACATAATGGGATTATAAAGATGCTGGCTGGATAATTCTGGGAGTTGAAATCCATGCATCTTAAAACTGCCAATTTTGAGAAATACTGGTTTAATTCATCACTCCTGTCTTTCTCTAATTTTGGGAGTTGTGGTCCATGAAATTAGGCTGGTTTAGATCCAGTGCCATAGAAGAGAATATATGTAGCTCAAGGCTGAATTGTGGAATCCTTGTGCTCTCTAAACTTGGTTTTTTAGTTGCAGATATTTCATTATCCAACAAATAGTAAGCAAACAACCAAGCTCAAATAGCACCAAGGACCCCATGGTTTAGATTAGGGGTCCCCAAACTTGGCAGCTTTAAGACTTGTGGACTTTAACTCTTCAGCATATGGACTTCAGCATAGCTGGCTGGAGAATTCTGGGAGCTGAAGTCCACAAGTCTTAAAGCTGCCAAGTTTGAAGACCTCTGGTTTAGATCCGCTGCCCATTGATCTGTTCTACTAAAAGCTAACTTCTTCTGCTCAAGGAACATGACCATCAAACAAGTTCGGGCTTCAGAGGTAGAGCAAATCTGATTTGTTTCAGGTAACCTCCAAAAAGCATTTGCCAACAATTCCCTATAAACATGCTTTCGTTAATGATTTGTTTACAAAGTTGAGACTCTGGCCCTGATTGTCAGCCAAATTATGTCAGCAGACTTGCATTCTGCTTCTTTCCTTTCCAGCTGATTGCACAAGATTGAAGTTAGCAGAGAAGAACAAAGGGCACAAGTGGGTGGAGAGAGAAAGGCAGAGGGCTTCCCAGTTAGCCATTGAACCCAGAGCAATGGCAGCACGGAATTTGTGTGCCCAAAGCTTCTAGGTTCACTCTCTCTACTTCCAAGGATAGCAGCACAAACTAAGACAGATAAACTAACTGGGTGATGTTAAAAGAGACATATTTTCCCTACCTGGTTGTAAATAATGTATTAACCAGGCAGCTATAACTAAATGGAACAATATGATGGATAAGGCCTTGCCTTGCCTTGCCTATAAGATACACAGAATCATATATGCAAACTGAGTATGTATAGTTCAGGGTTGTCAAACGTGTGGCCCGGATGTATCATGTGCTGGCCATGCCCACGCCTGGTTTAGCAAAGGGGGGAAAAGTCTTGATATGTCACGTGACACTGCCATGACGATACAAGTTTGACACCGCTGGTGTAGTGGGAATCATGAAGAATAGATTCTGATGCTCCAAGAAAATACTCTCACCGATTTCTGGTTGCTTGAGAGCCAACCCAAAAATTCAGCTGTGTTGTAAACATTCATCCTATTGAACACAGTAGGAGATGAAGTCCAAACTGATCTTCCAGACTAGTGGTAGTACTTAATTAGCAAAGTCTATCTTTCTCTAGTTTGTATACTTACAAAAACCACACAACCTCTTAAATTTCATCACGGGTAGGAGGGAATGGACAAGGTTGTGGCTCGTAATACCTATGCAGTCAGTGGTGGCTTTCAATTTTTTTTACTACTGGTTCTGTGGGTGTGGCTTGGTGGGTGTAGCATGGCTTGGTGGGTGTGGCTTGGTGGGCATGACAGAGAAAGGATACTGTAAAATCTCCATTCCCTCCCCAATCCAGGGGAAGGTTACTGCAAAATCCCCATTTCCTCCCAATCAGCTGGGACTCAGGAGGCAGAGAATAGATGGGGCGGGGCCAGTCAGAATTTTTACTACTGGTTCTCCGAACTACTCAAAATTTCCACTACCATTTCTCCAGAACTGGTCAGAATCTGCTGAAACCCATCTCTGCATGCAGTGTGTTGCAAATCCTTACATTTATCTCCTAGACTACACAACATATGTCTATTTCAGATGGAGCAGCTAAGAATATCACACCGTCCTCTTGGTACTGGCTGTCTGATATCATATGCCACATTCAAAGTGCCATTGGGAAAAACTCCTGAGTGAGTGGCCATGCCATGGTGTATTATACAAACATAATTCCTTTATTCAAGAGATGCAACACACCTGCTAACTTGGAACAGCTTAACAGTTGAGTTCACACAACACACAAAGCCTGTGTGGCAAAATACTAGTTGACATAACATGCATTGTCCAAATAAATAAGACATTTTATATGACAACCCAATTCACGAAACAGGCTGAAACAATGGGTAGATCCCAACACAAATGACCCAATCCTAGACTAGCATACTGTGCAGATGCAACCTCTGAATGTCAGAAAAACAGGAGATTCCAATACGGGAGAAGGCTGAGCTGTGTAACTCTCCTGCTTTTCCCCTCCTGAAAATATCTTCTCTCTTGTTGGAAGAAGCTATTGTGTAACCCATACTGATATCAGATTCAACAGACATCCCGGCTAACTTTTGTAGGAGTGGGGAGGAAAACAAAATTACCAGTTTCAATCTGTGCTGGGCAATAGTCATGGGCCTCTACAGAAAATGTTCCCTGGGATTAAGTCCATTTCTTTTAATTGTTTCTTTGCGATCTTGCCAGATCAACAGGCTGAAACTCCGTAGATTAATCCAATTGCACTTCTTCAGAAAAGGAGAAACCAATAATTGTGGTTGTCTTATTGCACAATGATTCTGGCTTCCGAGATGGGGCATCTCAAGGACAATAACCAAGCGTTTGAGTTTTTGCTGATCACTATGCTTTTCTGAAGGTTTAGTAGAGAAACGCAGGGGAAAAACAGGAGGTGGTTTCTGCTGACTCTGCAACTTGGAACTTTTGCCAAGCTTCGGATGAGTACATGTCAGAAGGAAACAAAATGTATCTGTTAAATCTGACTCTTGGAAAAACAGGGAACAGCTGGAGCCAGAAGTCTTGGCAGGTTGTGCCTCCAAGGCAGTCAACAGCTACATTTAAACTTTACAGAAAAAGCTGCTTTGTAAAGGGGGAAAAGGCATTATCTACAACTGGATAAAAACAAATAAAGGAGGTCAGCCTTCTTTTCTTAACTTGACACATTGGGTGAAGTTTAAGAAATACAGCAGTGGGGGGGGGGAAGAGTTTTTTTGTTAGTGATTTTAATTTGCATTGGGGTTTCAGGCACTACAGAGTAAAAACTGTAGAGCAGGGGTCTCCAACCTTGGCAACCTGACGACTTGTGGACTTCAATTCCCAGAATTCCTCAGTCAGTTCTGGGAATTGAAGTCCACAAATCGTAAGGTTGCCAAGGTTACAGATCCCTGCTGTAGAGGTCAGCTGCATACTCTCGGTATAGAATTAAAATGGAAGAATAGCTAGGCGGATCTGAGTCCATGGTTCTGCTACTCTTACAGAACTCTCTTATAGTGACTAGTACGATACTTAACAAGATGCTTACAAACAAAATTCAGAGACATTCCGTTACCTGTGGTGGTTCCCAGAACTGGTTTTTGGAGGCATGAGTTTTAAATGAATAACTTTTGCTAGATCCGTTCTCCAAATGTTTACTAGGTAGTCCTTGATTTATAGCCATTTGTTTACTGACCGTCCAAAGTTACAACAGCAATGAAAAAAGCAACTTACAACCAGTCCTCACGCTTATTGTGACTGTCACAGAATGCTTACAATCACGTGATCTGGAGAACTGGTAGCGGAAATTTTTGAGTAGTTCAGAGAACTGGTAGTAAAAATTCTGACTGGCCCCACCCCCATTTATTCTCTGCCTCCCAAGTCCCAGCTGATCGAGAGAAAATGGGGATTTTGCAGTAACCTTCCCCTGGAGTAGGGAGGGAATGGAGATTTTAAAGTATCCTTCCCCTGCCACGCCCACCAAGCCACGCCCACAGAACCAGTAGTAAAAATTTTTGAAACCCACCACTGATCCTGACCTTCCCAACTGACTTCCAACAAGCAAAGTCAATGTGGGAGGGCTGGACTTGCTTAACAAATGCGTGATTCATTTAACAACTGCAGTGAGTCACTTAATAACAGCAGCAACAAAAAAAAAAGGTTGCAAAATCAGGCACAATTCGCTTAACAACTGCCTTGCAAATTCTGGGCCCAATTGTAGTTGTAAATTGAGGACTAACTAAAGGATTCATTGTGGGAATCATAACATTCAGGATACAATCCAGCTACATTTCTTCTATATTATAATTATGGGTTTCTTCGTATTCTTTGCATTAGGTATATCTTGTCCTTGTATAGATAATTATTTGCAGATAAGAGGGGGGGAAAGAACAAAGAGTTTTCCTGCTACCCTCTTCCCGGATGTTTTTCTCAGCTCCATTGCAACTTTGTATTCCATGAAAGTTTCCCAGCCAAATGCTAATCAGCCTGAGCCTGCGTAGTTTTGGAGCCCAAAGAAGGACCACCAAATGCTGCCCCCTGATGTCACTGCAAGAAAAAAAACACACACAAGAGGAAATGGAGGTCAAGTCAACCGGCATTTTACTCTTTTCTCAAGAAGACAAGACTAAGTATTTGTTTACTTTTGAATCTATCCTTACCCAGGCAAATTCCAGGGGGAAAAACATTTATGTATTTCTGAAACATACATAGACAAAAATTAAATCAACAATTCCTTTCTGGATTTCTGAGTTAACTAGAATTGAACCAGGGGTGAAATGCTCCTGGTTCGGACCGGATCATCCGGTAGCGATGCAGGCGGGTGGTTCGGAGAACTGGTAGCAAAAATCCCTGCCCCCCCCATTGCCCAGCTGAGCCGCGCAATCATCAGAGGCTTTTTTAATTTATTTTTAAAAGCATTTTTTCTACAACCTCTTTGGCTGAAAAAAATGCTTTTAAAAGTAAAAAAAAAAAGCCTCTGATGATCGCACGGCTCAGCTGGGATCATCAGAGGCTTTTAAAAGCATTTTTTCTACAACTGCTTCGGCTGAAGAGGTTATAGAAAAGATGTTTTTAAAAGGAAAAAAAACCTCTGCCGATCAGGCAAGTCAGCTGGGATCGTCAGAGGCTTTTAAAAGCATTTTTTTTACAACCTCTTCAGCTGAAGAGGTTGTAGAAAAAAATGGTTTTAAAAGTTAAAAAAAAAAAAGTTGGCCACGCCCACTCAGTCATCTTACCCCCCCCAAGCCACACCCACAGAACTGGTAGTAACAAATTTTACATTTCACCACTGGATTGAACCCCTTCAGAAGACAGAATAACAGAGTTGGAAGGGACCCTGGAGGTCTTCTAGTCTAACCCCCTGCTCAAGCAGGAAACCCTATGCCATTTTAGACAAATGGTAGTCCAATCTCTTTATAAAAACCTCCAGTGTTGGAGCAAAAAACAAACCAACCCCCAAGGATAGGGTTTCTCTGAGTATTTGCAACTCTGTTTTTCCTAGAATAGTTTTTTTTTTTTTAAAAAAAAGATATGTGCAACTTTATTTTTCCTTAGAACTGTACCCCGGTAAGGTTTTTGATGAATAACTACTTTCTTCAAAAAGGAAATCAAGTGGATATTTCAGGCATTCAATTTGCTGAATATTGAATTTAATTTAAACTTAAAAAACAAGTTAAGAAATACTTTATCTCTAATGTTGCTAAGCACCAAAGGACTTTGACTTAGAAAGAGGAAGCTCATCCAGGTTTGGAAAAAGATTAAAATTGAATGGAGAAGACAAATATGTGAATTATCAGCAAATGTTTCAAGGAAGGAGATACAAAGTATTTCCCTGCTTGGGAGTTGGGGAGGGGGAGGAACTTGCTGTAGTAAGCATTTTTATAATCATTTGGCAAAGAAAGCAAAATGCTTCCTTTTCATTTTGAGCACATGACTGCACATATTAGGCCAGTATTTCTCAAACTTGACTCAAACTTTAAAGTGTAAAGACTACAACACCCAGGCTGGGGGATTCTGGGAGTTGAAGTTCACATACTTTACAAGTTGCTAAGGTTGAAAAACACTGCATTAGGCAATATAATACTCAAATGTGTTGATTTCAGTTGTCATAGTTGAGATGCACAGACTGGGCATTAAGGAGGTTGGCTTCAAACTATGAAGAACTCTGGTGTAACAGCTGTTCTCAGAGACAGTTTCCTATCTGTCTCTTCTAGAGAGAAATCCTATGAGTAGCACTGGTTTTGATGGTTGGTACCTGAAATGCAGAAAAAACAATTGCTACCAACCTGCCTTCCATTTAGGATCTGTATACTGCACGAGTCAAAAAGAGGGCTGTGAAAATATTTAGAGACCCCTCACATCCTGGACATAAATTGTTTCAACTCCTATCCTCAAAACGATGCTATAGGGCACTGCACACCAGAACAACTAGACACAAGACAGTTTTTCCCCAAATGCCATCACTCTGCTTAACAACTAATTCCCATAACACTGTCAAATAATTTACTAAGACTTTATTACTATTATTCTTCTCTTCCTTACTAGTATCTATCTCCTCCCACTTATTACTATAACCATGTTGCTTGTATCTTTTGATTTATATTGTTTTTATTTGTTTCCTAGTACGATTTGATAGATTATTAGTAACCTTGACTATCACTAAGTGTTGTATCTTTTTATTCTTGATGAACGCTATAGAGTACTGCACACCAGGACAACTAGACACCAGAACAGTTTTTTCCCAAATGCCATCACTGCTAAACAAATAATTCCCTCAACACTGTCAAACTATTTACTAAGTCTGCACTACTATTAATCTTCTCATCGTTCCCACCACCCATCTCCTTCCACTTATGACTGTATGACTGTAATTTTGCTGCTTGCATCCTTTCGATTTATAGTGATATTGTTTCCTGATTGCTTATTTGTACCCTGTGACTATCATTAAGTGTTGTACCTTATGATTCTTGATGAGCGTATCTTTTCTTTTATGTACACTGAGAGCATATGGATGAAAGACAAATTCCTTGTGTGTCCAATCACACACTTGGCCAATAAGGAATTCTATTCTATTCTATTCTATTCTATTCTATTCTATTCTATTCTATTCTATTCTATTCTATTCTATTCTATTCTATTCTATTCTATTCTATTCTATTCTATTGTCTGCTATTTACATATGACTACCTTTGTAGATGCCACCTTGGCAAAACTGAGGCCAGCCTTCTCAGACTTAGCAGTTGGAATCTTCCCAAAGGAAAGATGAAGGGACAAAGACCCTGATGAACTCTGAATTCACTCACTCAAGTGCTCTGCAGCCATTGCTGAAGCTGTAATTACTTCTTAAATCACCCTATCTTATTACTCCCAAAATATGATAGCAATTCCACCAGGCTGGAACTGGTGTGTGTGAAAATCTACTTAGAGGAGTGAAAAAATTCATATAAACACTTACCTGGAGTAGATCAGCTCATGAGCCAGGAAGAAGTAGAGTTTCAAGTTCCTATGCAAGTTCTCAGAAAATTAAACATTAATTGGGTTGGATAAAGCAGGTTGCAGTTTGGTCAGAGTTGTATTTACAATGTGGAGGAAAGACTTCATGTCCCTGGGACAGTCTGTATTATACAACAGTATTTGTTGTATAAATTGTCTACTCTACATTCTGGGGACCATCAGGAATTATTTGCAATGGAAACATTGGAGTATCTTTTGATTACATTTGTGGGCTATTTAATTAATATGTGTGATAGTTCATAATTAAACAGAACTATAGGGTTTAGTAGGTCTTACATTAACCTTGCCCTGCCATATTTCTAAAGAATCATTATGAGAACTGGCATAATAGTTTGGAATTCCCTGTTTCAGTGCATCATATTTCCTGGAGAATTGAACACACAAGGAGATACAAATTAGGAAAGAAACTTACGTTTCACTGGCCTCTTATACTTAAGGATCATCCACACATCAAGCTTATTGTGATGTGAAGATGCCACATTTACTGTAGTATTTGTTGAGAAAATGTCCACGCAAGGGCACCTCCATCTTGTAGGCAGACATTACTGAGATAGGCTGAAACCAGTTTGAGATGTTCCAGGTGAAAATAATGTTTTGCCTGGGAAAGCAGAAAACATACCATACCATCCAGACATTCCACAGTACATGAAAAAAGAGGCGGCTTGAGAATTAGCTACCATTGGCCTGGCAGGAACTTTCTCATTCAGTCCAGTTCCTGGACCTGGAGCTTGTTCTATAGTAGCATTTTGGCTGTGAAAGAGACTGGAACCACTTTCATTTTTTCACATCTCTTGAATGGTTCCGAACCCTGAAGTTGAAAACCTGACCCAGGCTTAACTCTTTAATTCTTTTTATCAGAATAAAAGCTGGAAGGGACCTTGGAGGTCTTGTAGTCCAACCCCCTGCTCAAGCAGGAGACCCTGTACCATTTCAGAATTCCATCAATCTCTTCTTAAAAACCTTCAGTGATGAAGCACCCACAACTTCTGAAGGCAAGCTATTCCACTGATTAATAGTTCTCATTGGAATTAAGTTTCTCCTTAATTCCAGGTTGTTTCTCTCCTTGATTAGTTTCCATCCATTGTTTCTTGTCTTGCCTTCTGGTGCTTTGGAAAATAAGTTGACCCCCTCCTCTTTGTAGCAGTCCCTCAAATATTGGAATACTGTTATAATGTCACCCCAAGTCCTTCTTTTCTCTAGACTAGATATACCCAGTTCCTGCAATTGTTCTTCATATTGTAAGGTCCCAAAATACACTTGAGTCACCAAAATGCCAAAGAGAGAGACTCAAGATGAGGCTTGCAAAAAAAAAACCAGATTTTATTTATGGCCAAAAACAAAATACTGGGTGGAACTATATCCAGAACATACAGATACAATGCATGTGAGGAAATAGCCACACCTTGGGGAAGGTATGGCGTCCTTTTATACCCTCAGAGATGTCAGCTTAGTACCCAACTCTGGCCTCCTAATTTAGGTTTGTGTATTCCTTGTTGCCCTGCAAGGGGGAATAGAAACTTCCCAATTAGTCATCTTGAGCATTTCTTTGTTTACTCATTTGGCCACTTTGGCCGCCTGGCCCTGGAAAGTAGGAGTCTATCCAGATCAAACATAAATTAGGGCTGAGGTGTAAATTATCCCTTGGAGATATGTACCATGGCACAAGAAAAAACAGGGAGAAGATTGATATGGGTTCAGGTCAAATGGCAGGGACATATGTTTGACAAATACCAGATACATTACAGAGGCCTAATAACAGAATATGTTTGTTACAGGAGATACAAATATAAAGGCATAATATATGTGATACAAATACAAAGGCATATATGTATTACAAGAACCTAATGGTTACAGAATCTAGTATACCAGTATATCATATTCTAGTATTATTTATTATATCCTTATTATTGTTTCCCTTCAATATATTTTCAACTCCAGGCCTGTAATCATTTTAATTGCACTTCTCTGCATTTTCGTTCAACCCATGTCATTGGAAGTGTGATTGAAAAGTCACTGCTCTGGAACTTCCATAGTCTGGTATGGCCTCAATATATAGCCATTTTCCTTTCCTTTCTTACCCTTTTTTGTGTATCCTGAGATTTTACACAATAATTAATAACACTTCTGAAATGTTGGTTCTCCAACACTATCCAATAGCTATATGAATCTGGGTAGCCAAAAGAGACAAAGTTCTCTTTACTGTAACCAATAATTGATAGATCAATCAGTTAACAGATCAAAAAATATTTTGGAAAATGTACATGTGTCGCATACCTTTCTTGAATACTGGCACAGCCTAAAAGACATTGATGCATCCATACATTGAGTCTGGGCTGTAAAAATCCAGTCAACTGCATTGCAGAGATAAACACTTTCCTGCCATCTAGTGGTTATAAGGTCAATAAATGGATAGTCCTTTGGGGGGGGGGAATGATTGACAAGCCCCATCACAATACACATTCTTATAGCAGGGTGGAATAGGGCAAGGGAGACAGCTGTTCCTACAGTTGTGATGTTTGAATTTTAGCCAATGGAAACTGCCAGTGACCATTCTTGCAGCGTTACATGGAGCTCTATGGAGAACAGCCCAGTATGGTTTATTTTAGATGTAGGTTAAGAGAATGCTAAGGAAGCAATGTGATTTATGCCACCAATTTCTTCAGTAGTTGTACGGCTGAGCCATCAGAATGACTGATTAGAACTCAAGTATGCTATGTACTAATGTACATAGAGATATGACTCTTTTTCCTCCCTCCTCCATACAGTCTTTGCTCTCCTAATCCTAGGTTTTAGGTCTTGGTGGTGCTAGCTATCAAAAGTATAATGACTCCTGGTGCTTTCAATTAATGCCTGAATCTTTGCCTGCTTCGTTAGTGGCATTATATGGAGGATCCGGATATTTCTATCTTCAGTCATCCCAAAAAAATTTTTTCTCTCTCTCTCTCCTACAGCCTGCTCCCCTCCTCAAAATATGCAAGAAGAAAGAGTCTAATTCATTTGCTAGTACTACTTGGTAGTTCTTAACTAGTCATTCTTTGGGGGAGGGGGTTTCTAGCTAATAATTAATAAAAGCTGTCTCAGATATTTGTCACAGATCGAGTATCTCAGGCTAGATTGAAGGATGTATATCTTTAGAAGAAATCTTTTCTTTTAAAGAAGGAGCAACAATTATCACAAAATTTAATTTTAAAACAGGTGTTGACTATCTTCACACAGCAGAGCATTTGTTTTTTGCTAGAAAAACAACATTTTCATAGTAAATTAAACAATTTAATATAATTTCATACAAGCTAAATGATTTTGTCTCCTGATGATTCAGAAGAGTGCAATAATTTTTGGGGGGGAAACAATGTCACTTTCTGCCATTGTTTTTAAATTTCCGTTTTTAACCTATAATCCAGAAACTTCCTAGTGGTCTCCTTTCCATGGGCTAACTAATATCATTTAAAATTTTTGAGGTCTACCAAGACAGGTGCTGCTATTGAAGAGGTGTATTTTACATACAGAATTTAATCTCATTTTCAGTTTTCTTTCCTGATATTTAATGGTATCCACCCAAACTTATTTCACTGCATGTGAAGAACGCTGTGCGTGCATTAGTATTAATGACTAGGTGGGCTGCCAAATACGACATCCTGGCTTTCTTTACTAAGCAAAAATCGAGCTCTGCCTATAACCCGAACCTCAGCAAAACACAACTCGGCTCCTCCCAGAATGCATTGCACAGCTGAGAGGCCAAATCAGTCTCTCCCAGCATGCACTTGGCCCCACCAGTTTCCCGAGAGCGCCCTGACAGGTAAAGGAGGTCACTGAATTCGCCATTTCCGGTGCGCAATGCAGGACGGGAATGCGAGTAGCTCTATTGGCCGGTGCTTTCCCCGCTTTTCGCCGAGATAGGCGGGCAGGAAGGAAAAGCGGCGGCCGAGGCGGCTTGGCGGGGCAAGAGATTTTTCCCGGTGAGTTGTTATGCGGAACGGTCCGACTTTGTCGGGGTCGGCGCTCTCTCCCGGACGAGGCGGGCGTCGAAAAGGGGATCGATTTAATGCGCGATTTGATGACGTAATAACGGCTCTGGAGACGGAGCCACTGCTGGAGTTGCGCTGGTCCATGCGCCGGCTCCTTGTGGCCTCTTTCCTTTCGCCCCGGCTCGCTCTAGCCTCTCCCGCGCCGCCCTTTATTCTCTTTAAGAGACCCTTTCACTACTCGGCGCCCCCCAGCGGTTAGGCCTTCCGTTTAGCCCGCTCTGAGCGCTCATTGGCTCCGCTCTCTTCCGTTCCGGGGCCCGATTGGTAGTTGTGGAGATGATTGACAGGCAGCCCCCATAGGGTCATCCGCAGTGTGGGTCCCCAAAGGTAGCCTTCCCCCGCCGGCCCGAGGCTTGCGCCATCCCCGACTGGCGTAGGCAGGATGGCTGGCGCCGGGAACTGCCGGTTAACGTACGTGCAGTGCTGTAGTTATGGCCAGGTGTGTGTCTGGAGGTCAGCCAGCCACTGGGGTCTCTGTGTGATCCGCACGAGGGGAGGACAACAGCCAAGTCCTCTTCCTCTGGCAGCCCCAAACGACAGGTGTCAGAGCAAAGCTCCACGCCCGTTAAGAGTTGCCACACGAAGGCTTTATTATAGGTACGAAGAGGAGGGTTACCAGAGCTGGATGCAAGACCCCTAGAACGGGTGGGCAACTGTGGCCCTTTTACAACCTGTGGACTTCAACTCCCAGAATTCCTGAGACAGCTTGGCTGTCTCAGGAATTCTGGGAGTTGAAGTCCACAGGTTGTAAAAAGGGCTACAGTTGCCCACCTCTGCCCTAGAATACAGGACAGACAGAAAGCATGAAGGTCTTGCTCATGGCTCCCTTCTGGCACTGGCCAGATGGTTGCAACTGACAGCCTTAGGACAGTACATGGAGAAAAAAATAAAGAAAAATATTGGTTCCCCCTTCTCATTAATTGCAGTATTTAGGTGCTGCGAAGACATAGTGTAAAGCAAAGGTGGACCATCTTTTTGACATGGAGCCTGGCTTCCCGGAGGAACTTGCCAGTTGTTTTTGCCCATCCAGTGCAATGCAGCAGAGCGGATGTGCTCCAGGTCCCGTCAAGTACACGAAGTCATCTTGTGGGACCCAGAAAGCTTGCATTTTCTAGCGCAGTGCTTCACCTCTGGAAGGAGATTTGCCCCTGAAATCCACGTGGCTTTCATCCTCTTGGTGGTCTGTAAGGCCTTGAAGATTTTATTCTCGGGGGCTTTTTTGGGGGGGGGGAAACTCCTCCCTTTTGGGGGGGGGGGAACTCCTCCCTTTTGGAGGGAGGGGGTTTGTGTGTGCTGAATGGCCTGGTACATTGTTTTCCAGTTGGTCAGGCTTTTTGTGTTTCTGCTGTTTTTGCTTTGTAAGCCACACAGAGTTGTCAGAAGGTCAGGTGACTTCTAAATTAAAATTGAAATATATACATAAGTAAAAATATTTTGGTATTTGAGGTGGAGGGCCACAAACACATTGGATGAAGGAGAGTTTGAAGTGGTTTATTTATGCCATGGTGCATTTTTTTTACAGTGTCTACTGTCATTTTCACCTGTGCAATAAATGTGCCAATGGTATATTCAACTATATCCAGGAAAGCTCTGAGAGCTCCAAAAAAGGGTCTTGAATATCACCTGTCATTTCGGAGCTACCAGTTACTCACCCTTAGCATAAAGGAATTGTTAACAGCCTCTGTCTGATCAGTGTTTGGATGGGAAATTAATTACCTGAGCACTTTTTAAAGAAAGATAGTGATATAAATGTAGCAAGTAAAGACATGCAGTTGCATGCATGGCCACCGAGCAACCATTTTTGCACCATCATTTCAGGAGAGGCAGCAACCGGACTAACTTTATTCTTTATTAGTGTTCATCTATACAATTTGCAATCCAATATTTATTGAGGTTTTTCTGAGCCATGGTAGGGACATTACTTATAAATGGCCAATTTGGCCCTTCTTTCTTTTCCTTTGTTTTCTTGTTCCTGTTGAAAGCAACATAAGAATATATTAAATAGAGTACATGCATTTAATCAATGGATGGGTTTGCTTTAATTTTCTCTGATTAGTTGTAGTTAAAGACAGGAGATGTCAACCTAACCCATTCTACTAAATGTCAGAATAGCTGAAATGGAGAGGTGGTGAGAAGTGTGTTTCAGATGCCTAAACTATCACCACCCCAAAATATTTCCTTCCCAATGGTTTTATTTCATTAAAGCATTTTCATCTCCATCTGCTTCTGAGTTGAATTTTTGAACTGGAAGATTTTTTTTTTTTAAATATGGCTTCAGAAGAGGGAAACTTATTTACCAAGATCCTTGGTATAATGCCTTCCATTTTTACTATTATTAAGAAGTTGTGTTTCCTATTTGAAATTTTCTTCTTGGCAAAAATCCATGTCTACTTTTTCCTGATCTTTTTCCTAGACAAATTTATTAGCCATGGAAGCTGAAGAGACGATGGATTGTATTCAGGAATTTCCAGAACATTATAAAGTAATTTTGGACAGATTAAATGAACAGCGGGAGCAGGATCAATTTACAGACATCACTTTGATTGTGGATGGTATGTAATGATGCAAACAAAGTCAAATTAGGCACTCTTCAGTCCAGGTCTACTCGTCAGAAAAGTTAATCTGAAGTATCTGGTTATAAATTAAAATTGACATTATTTAAGGAGCAATTCTCTGTCACCTGTAAAGCTGGCTGCAGAACTGTTGGATTTGGTGAGGGGAAGGGGGAGAGGGAGATGGGGAGAGAGAAAGAAAGAGAGATCCTTCTAAAATTCTCCTTGGAGAGTAGGAACCCTTTTTCTTACCATGATTTCCTTGCCAGTCTTGTTAGTTTTTCTTCTTGCTCTTAACTGTGCTAAAACCTGCATAGTGTATTTCTTCATACTGCAAGCAGTAGAACAGGGAGCTCTCACCTCTTCTGCTCAGATGAAGCCAGCAGGCTTTAAAAATTGGCACTAGTTCTGTTCCAAATCTTCCATCAAACTGCTCTCAAAATTAGTATAAGATTGCTCTGTTACATGAAGTGGGTGGAGCCTGGCTCATTTAACCTAAAGATTAAAGTTTTAAAATTAATTATATACTTATCTAGAATATATATATAACTGTGGAGTTTGTCAAATTACATAGAATTAGGGTTCACAAATTTGTAAGAGACAAATTGTGCTACACTACAGACTATTAGTTCCTTAAAACAAGTTTCAAATACCTTTAGGAGTGGCTGAAGCAAAATATAAACTTAGAGTTGGAACTTAAAATTCCTCAGGAGATCATCCGAAAGCTTTTATTTGCACTATCTTTCTTTTATAAAGTTGAAACAACAGCAAAACTTGTTAAAACTTGTTGTTACACTTGTAAGTGTAAGGAAGAGAGTCTTGTTGGAGAGGTTTTTTGGTAGCTGTGACTGGTCAACAATAGACATTGCATTATCAATTAATAAAAATTTGATATTACATATTTTTTCTTATATCCAGTAATATCCAACATGGGGTTTCATATAGTATGGTGATGTTGTTTTTTATTTCCAGGTCATCATTTTAAAGCTCATAAAGCTGTTCTTGCTGCTTGCAGTCAGTTTTTCTACAAATTCTTCCAAGACTTCACTCAGGAGCCTCTAGTAGAAATTGAAGGTAATTTATGGTTTCAGTCATGTACAGAAATACTAGGAGATATAATATAAAAGGGCTCATGGAATGCTTTGGAAGCCATCCAGTGTGGTAGACATAATATCATAGAAAAAAAAAACTGACTCTGGTTTAACTCCAGGCAACTTTTATTTACACTCGTTCTTACTCCTGAATTGTGTAGTAAGGTAAATCTTGGAAGTTAACCAAATATGTAAGACTGTTAAGACCTTTTGCTCTCCCCACCCCACACTTTGTTACAAGTTGCTCCAAACCCAATAATCTCCATTTTAGAAGTACAAGGGAGAGAATAGTGATAAAATCAGTTGTTGCATTGGGTTATCAACAAACTTAGAGGACACTAAAGGCCAGAAGATACTGGTCTCTTTCTAACTGCAAACTGAAAGAGAATAGGACTTGTAATTCAGCCTAGTTTTGATGGTGTTGCGTTTTCTGCTACTTTATTCTTTTTTAGTATCTTCACTGGCTACATTAAAAAAAAACTTCTTGCTTGGTCGACACTAATTGAACATTGTTTGATAAGCTATTTCTATTTTGATGCTGTTTTATATATTCTGTGAGAGTCTCATTAATTATTATAAACTATTCCCAGTGATTCAAATCTGTTTTCTAGATAAAATCAGTGTATGGTCCAAAGGATCAACTAGTATTTGCCATGTTATACTTCTGCCCCAGTCAAGTGAAACATTCTTTCTGCTTGGAGAATGTTTTTAATTTGGAAAAAAGATAGTTATCTTTTCTCCAAATTTAGTAATTATCCTAGCAGACAGTTCTTTAGTAACACATTAATAGTTTGAGTTTTAAATGTTTTGTATAAGATGTATAAGTTTATTTATTAAGTTTTTTTTATCTAATGCCAAGTTTTAGTTTATACACTATTTGGCTCTTTTGGCTGCAAAATAAAAATTATCAGGCAATCCTCAGTTAATGACATTTGTTTAGCAACTGTTTGAAGTCACAATGGTGCTGAAGGAATGGTGGTTATGACCAGTCCTCTTAAGTCCCAGCTGCTCCAACACCACTGTGTGACTGTGATTTACAATCTTATCTGTTGGCTTCATACAAGCAAAGTCAGTGGACATCCTCATACTCTCCCTGAGCCATGATGTTGCATGCTGAGCATCCTTGGCCATTCACACACAACCCTCACTTGGCAGGAGCTATTCCAAGCCTCCCCCCAGGCTTGCAACACATCTGCCCCCCCTCCCCCCCAACATATCATTCCTGAGCCTTGCTGCCCTCACATTGTGCCTCCCTGGCCATTTATGCATCCTCTCACTCTGCAGCAGCCACAAGCCCTATCATGCTTGCAACATGCCTTCCCTGATAGTCATGCACCTTCTTGAGTTTCATTGTGCTTGGATCATGCCTCCCTTCTCCAACCCAGCAGTAATCACTCCAAGCCCTTGCAAGCTTGTATTGTGTCTCCCTGCTACTACTCCCTACAACTGCTACTTGTTCATCCTCACGCACCCTCTGCTATCCAGCAGCAGCCACTCCAGGCCCTATTGAATTTGGCCACATCTTCCCAGCACCTGCACCACACCTCAGCTCCTTCTACCCCCAGCAGCTGTCACTCACCTACTTGCTGGCCAAGTTAAAAACCCCTCGTGGACTTGCAACTTCCTTGCAGCTTTTCCACTGACTTTGGTTGTTGAAAGTCACTTAAACAATCCATGATCCTTGCTTAACAATGGCAACGTGCACTGCAGGGATTGCCATTGTTAAGGAATGCAGTCTTGTGACATCACACTTTACAACTGCATCACTTAGTGACATAAATGCTGGTCCTAATTACCTTCATAACTCGAGGACTACCTGTATTATTATATATAGCTACTTCTGTGTATCTAGGTTTGAAAAATAGGAGGTTTTATAGTTAAGAGAAAGCAATAGCAATGGGTATAATACTGCCCTGCTCAGCATGTTTCCTAATAACCGACATAATTAATTCAATAGCATTGATTTACAAAGGATAGCCTGCAGACCTTTAACTTGGCAGTGAAGTAGGAATTTATCACAACATCAATCTATAATATAGAAATCTACATAGAGTTCTTAAACTACGAGGCCTTTATCTTCGTTAATGCTTGTATAATGATATTTAAAAGAACAAGTAAGTTATGTTTTGCAATCAAGATATATGATGAAAGCATGGAACTTTCAGATAATAGGATGTAATAGTGCCATTCTAGTTCTAGTTTACATTGGTGAAATTTCTCCTCGAATATTATGTCCACATTTGATTAGTACACTAAGAAGATTTCGGACAAACTGGGATAGATTCATAAAAGCAATGAAGATAATCAGAGAACTTGTCCTCTGAAGTCAGACTGAATAAGCTTACCATATTTGTTCTTGAATACAGAAGCTGAAGGAGAGATAATACCTTTCAAATAACTGGAAGGGATGTCCCACAGAAGAAAGCCAATGTTTATTATTTTTTATTCCAAAATTCAGGACATGGAATAATGGATTTAAATCACAAGGAGACAGATTCCAATTTGATTGCTAGGGCAATTTTTTTCTTTTTAACAGTAAGAACACTTTCACAATTGATCAGAGGTAATAAATTATTTTCAGTGAAGGTGTTAGAGAGCTTCTAGATAGTTGACTGTTATGATTTTTTTAATTTTCAAATTGTTATATTCTTCATTAGACATTCATTCTGGAGTGGCACTAAATTGCCCTTTTCAGATCTGTGAATCTGTGAAGTTACCTTTATTTATTGTCTTACAAAGCTTGGATATTTATTGTCTTACAAAGCTTGGATCCTTCAACCTTAAGAGGTTGTAGGAAAAAATGCTTTTAAAAGCCTCTGACGATGAGGCAACTCAGCTAGGATCGCCAGAGGCTTTTAAAGGCATTTTTTTTCCTACAACATCTTCAGCTGAAGAAGTTGCAGAAAAAAAATGCTTTTAGAAGCCTCTGACGATCAGGCAACTCAGCTGGGATCGCCAGAGGCTTTTAAAGGCATTTTTTCCCCCTACAACCTCTTCAGCTGAAGAGGTTGTAGAAAAAATGCTTTTAGAAGCTTCTGACGATCCCAGCTGAGCTGCACCATCATCAGAGGTTTTTTTTTTTAACTTTTAAAAGCATTTTTTCAGCCGAAGAGGTTGTAGAAAAAATGCTTTTAAAAGTAAAAAAAAAAAAAGCCTCTGATGAGGTAGGCGGGGTAAGCGAGCGGCGACTGGGCCAGGGACCGGCTCGGGGGCATGGCCAGTCAATGTTATTACCGGTTCTCCGAACTACTACAAATTTTTACTACCGGTTCTTGCGAACCGGGAGCAACCCACCACTGATCCATACCCATTAAATGTTGGAATTCTTATGGATGCCATGTAATGTAAATATTTGATCCAGCAAAAAAAATAAAATAAAAATAGTTTATATTCTTCAGCAAGAGTATATAATGACAATTTTATCCAAATTAATTTTAATACAACTTAGGCAGGAATATTAGTTTCTGCCTAAGAATTCTTTTTTTAAAAAGTTTTTTATTTTGAAAACATTAAAAACAAGACACAAACACACAACATTTATATACATCACTTTTCCCTACAGCTACTTTGAAGTGATCCTTTCTTACTATTTACATCTATTCACCCACATTTTAACTTTATCTTATTCAGCAATTTATTTTCCATCATTCTTTCTTTCATCAAGATTGTACTTTGATCTTCAACATTTTTTCCCCCCCCCTCCTTTATTAATAAGTTTAAAAATATTGATTCTACAAATTAATTACATGGTGATGTCATCTTCAAATCAGTTTCAACACCTGATAATTACATAGACATGCAATTTTCTAGACATCATTTTGGATGTCTAGAGGCTGTGCCCTTTCCTTCTTCCCTTGGTTGAGACCTTCCATTTGGCTGGTCCAAAGTCACTCATCTGGCTTCCTTGCACAAGTCAAGATTAGAACTCCCTGTTCCTAGTCCAGGGCCTTAACCATTAGACCAAACCAACTTTTATTTATTATTATCAACCTAAATAGTGCACTGAAGGATGAAGTTTATGGATCATAATCAATTACAAAGGTCCAGTGCAAATTGATAGATCGCTTTGAATTTTTCTGAGGCTGAGAGAGAGTAACTGGCCCAAGGTCACCCAGTTGGCTTCCATGCCTTAGAGCAGAGGTCTTCAAACTTGGAAGCTTTAAGACTTGTGGACTTCAGCTCCCAGAATTCCCCAGCCAGCTAAGTTTGAAGACCTCTGCCTTAGAGAAACTAGGATCTTTTTCTCCCTGCTCTTTAACCATCTAGCACTTTAACCATGATAGGACACTGGCTCTCAGACAATTTATATACTGAATGTTTGTATAAAAATAGACCCAAAATACTGAACAGTCCGCTCATCTATGCTTTAGATATGTATGGAAATAATCTCATAGTACACATCTATAATGATTTTTTTTCATATTTAGAGATGTTATAGCTTTTAATTTTGAATTATAGGAAATGACCATTAGTTGTAGAAAAGTGCTAGATATTATGTTCCTGAAAAGCAACTCTTGTGAAACAAATATAATGATATTTTACAGCCACAAATCTGTGCAAAATGTACGAGCCAGTTCTATATTTTGTCTTTTGTCCACAATCAGGTGTAAGTAACATGGCCTTTCGTCATTTAATTGAGTTTACATATACTGCAAAACTAATGGTCCAAGGAGAAGAGGAAGCAAACGATGTCTGGAAAGCAGCTGAGTATCTTCAGATGTTGGAAGCCATTAAAGCACTTGAAATCAGGTGAGTGTGGTCAAATTACAGTAAGGTCATTGTCTTTTTCCTATCTTCTCAAGAACATTAAGACGTTTTCATTCACTTTTGACAAGTCTCTGAAATATGACAATGCTGCTGGGAGATTTTATATATACACCTTGCAGTGTTTGCAGCTGAAAATGCAACTTGATAGGGAAACACACCCAATTCTTACTCCCAGGAAAATCTGTGAGGCTTATTCATTTTTCTGCATATTCTTTTTTAAGCACATGTTCCAATCTGAAATATGTGCAACCTGAAAAACTATAACTTATAGTTGGGCCAAGCGTGATTCTTGATTTGCTTGAAGGCATTTAGGCTGCACAATAAAGTAAGACTTTATGATGCTAAACATATGTAAGTTGAAACAATGTAAGTTGAAACAAACAATACATTCTAGAATCTAGTGTTCTAATGCAATAAGATGAGATGAGGAACTAGGGGTTCTCATGATATTGCTGGCCTTCATCTCCCATAGTCTCTGACAGTTAGCCATGGTGACTGGGACTGAGGACAACTGAAGCCTAACAATATCTGGATGGCAAGAGGATTCCACATCTGTTAGTGAATAAGCTTCTGTGTACAGTTTTAATGTGTGTAGAATAAAATGTTGAAAGCCAAGCACTACTATTTAATGTTTTGCAGAATACAGAAGAGTTATGGTCTCCCTTCAAAGAGCTTGCAGTCTAAATGAACTGGGCAGAACGTATTTGATCATAGAGGACCAGGCTTTATAAAGAAATAGCTGGGGTATGTTATTCTGGGAATCGAATCTGAATTCGAACTTGCACCCCTGGCAACCCAGTGAGATGGGAGGAAAGCATAATCAGAACTAAATAAATTAAAAAGAGAGTTAGGGATTTAAGGAGCTTTCAGAAAAAAGTGTAGTCGGTGGATGATATTGAAAAAAGGGAGACCATTCTCTGTATGGAGAAGTCACCATGGAAAATAAGCATAAAATTATGACTGAGACAAAGACAGATGCACTTAGGTACAGTAGAGAGAATGAGAGATTAGAAATAACAGTTGATAGGAGTCAGCAGATAGACAGACTAGATGATTCTGGAAGAATTTGCCAGGCTGATATGGTTGTAAAAGTGATAAAAATAAAAGATTGAAATATAGAGATTGTGTTGGCATTTTGCTGGTGTGAACACCACCAGTGTTAAATATAGTATTTCTACCAGTGACAGCTAAGGCATTCAAGGAATGGCTTGTAAGCGGGTACCAACTATTGGTAGGAGTCCTGCCTTGCCCTAGATCCTCTTCCCTGATAAAACTCAACCAGGGAAAACAGGCGCAGAAAATTTGATCAATTTATGAAGAGTGAACAAGGAGTATCAGCTTACTAGCATGGGACCTGTGGGGGAGAATTGAGCAAGGACTGGGTGGAGAAATTCCCAAGTACTTGGGTCATCACAAACCATGGCTAGTGGAAGAGTAACTTGTATTACTCAACTGTCAATGAACGTCTAAACCAATGCTTCTTAACCATGGCAACTTAAGTTGCATGGGCCTCAACTCCCAGAATTCTGCAGCCAGCAAGCTTGCTGGGGAATTTTGTAAGTCTACATGTTAAGTTCTCCAGGTTGAGAAGCACTACTCTAGACAACCACAAAGTTTCTGTAACTGCTCACTCAGGGCTGAGAGATACTAATGGAACATCGGGGAATATTACTACACATTAACTGGGAAAGACGTAGAAGCCTTATCTCCAAAACACCAGACTTTTGAAAATAAGTAGAGATAGCTTATGCTTAAACAACATGGTATGCTGAACCGTTAGTGCTAGAATTCTAGAAAAGTGGAGAATGGGAGACACAGCCAAGAAAGATCCTTCCTTCTTAACTAATAAAATGCAGGATATTTTAAATTTGATATAGCAATATATTACATAGTCTTCTTGTTAAAGGTATTAAGGTGCTATTCAACATGGGTATTCGTGATTCTGAATGGCTGCATTTTCACAAACCAAATGAAGGAACGTTCTGATCAGAAACTTTACCTCAAAATTCTGGGAGTCTGTTCCTAACATGGTACCAGTTTTCAGACAAGCTTTGAAATCTCTTTCCCTTACAAACTAGCATTTGACAAATCATCATAGGACTGAAACCTGAATAAACTTACGTAGCATTGATATGTCGGTTGAAGTTGCATATGTTGCAACGGACAATATTGTGGACATCCTTTTTCCTTCTGATTTAATCATGTTTAAGTATCAAGGAATTGCTTAGGAGCAATTTTCATTTTCCCAATCCTTCTCTTTAAGGAGAATACATTCCTACTAACAAGCCTAGGTATAGCAAAACATGGCTTCTTTAGCAGTGTTGCAGCGCTTAACTTTAATCCTGCTTCTTGTTCAGCCCTATATCAGTAGCCAACTTACTTCGACTCTTTTTCATTTTTCATGCCTTACTATGTCCTTCATGATCTTCTCTAGGAACAAAGAAAATACATCCTCACTTGAATCAAATCAAGTTCAAGATATAAATAAAGCCAAAAAGAGGAAGATAGCAGAGACCTCTAATGTTATTACTGAAACACTGCCTTGTGCAGAATCTGAACCAGTTGAAATTGAGGTGGAGATTGCTGAAGGAGCTCTCGACGTGGAGGAAAATAACATTGAATCTCTTGAGGAAGTGGCTTCTGGTGAACAGCCAATAAAGTACATACAGACTACAGGTACCTCAGATGACTCTGCTTTGGCTCTTCTGGCAGATATCACCAGCAAGTTCCGCCATGGAGAAAGGAAAAATGAAATTCAGGAGGAATGTGACAACTTGTCTGATCCAATGGGCAAACATGTGGAAGGCATTGAGATCATGGAACTTCAGCTGTCGCATGTCAACAATCTTTTCCATTGTGAAAAGTGCAATCGCACATTTAAATTCCTTTACCACTTTAAGGAGCATATGAAAACACATTCCACTGAAAGCTACAAGTGTGACCTATGTAACAAAAGATACTTGCGTGAGAGTGCGTTGAAGCAGCACCTTACTTGTTACCACCTTGATGAAGGTGGAACAAACAAAAAACAGAGACCTGGCAAAAAAATACACGTTTGCCAATACTGTGATAAGCAGTTTGATCACTTTGGACATTTTAAAGAACATCTTCGGAAACACACAGGTACCTGCAATTTTAGTTGTATACTGGCTACATCTCTTTCCGTAATTCTGTCCAGAGATGCTAAACTCTTAATTCAATATGATATGATATACCTTAAGGCTGTGCAGTGCTTTAGATTCAAAGGCAAGAAAAGTGCTTCAGAAGTGTGAGGATTTGAATATAGATAACTCTGAACCAAGCACATATTTTCCTACAATTGTGCACCCATTGTAGCCACTTCTTCCAGGCAAAAGGCAAGAATAAGCCACAGACAGTGAGGTTTCAAGTCCAAAGTTTGCAAGAGAAACAGGAAAACATTTGCTTTTGGTCTTGGTTATCTATAGTTTATTTTCCTATATGAAGTGGCAGAGTGATGGTGTTCACTGATGTAGACAAGCCAGGACATTTGTTACTCCTGGAGTGATTAACAAATTGGGTAAGCATAATTATGTTTTTTCTGTGAGTTGGTACATACTAACTTTGGAAACAAAACTCCATGGAGCATTGAATTATAATATAAATTCCAGAAAGATTCCCATGGTTGAAGACTTGAACAAATCAAATGGAAATTGCTGGGTTCTTTTTTTTTTCTTGAGTTTGAAGAAATCTGAATAATTAGATTGAATGTAATAACTAGATGAACGAAATAGTCTTTTATCCTGAGAGCTGCTTGTTTTGGCTTTACTTAATGGAGTACTGTAAGATGAAGTAAGGTTTTCTGATACATCTTTGAGGAGCTAGTTTCAACCATATTAACAATGAGTAAATTTCACAATAATTTGATATGTGTTCTCATGTGGTTTCATTAATGTATAACTTTATGAAGTGTATTTATTTATTTATTTATTGGTTTGATTTATATGCCGCCCTTCTCCGGAGTCTCAGGGCGACTTACAATGTGTTAAGCAATAGCCTTCATACTTTTGTATATACCTGCTTAGTAGGGCTTTTGGCCCCCCCAAGTGGTGTTCTTTTTTTTTTATACAAAGTCAGCTTATTGCCCCCACAATCTGGGTCCTCATTTTACCTACCTCGAAAGGATGGAAGGCTGAGTCAACCTTGAGCCTGGTGAGATTTGAACTCGCAGTAATTGCAGGCAGCTGGCAGCTAAGTGCTACTTAACAGCACTTTAGTCCGCTGTGCCACCAAGGCTCTGTTGAACAGAAATGTAATTCTTCATCTGATATTTTGTATTATACTTGTAACTTTCCTTAATTTGAACTCCCAACAACTTTAGTCAATGTGGTCACAACTGAGGCATTATCTTAACATAAAGTTATTATCTTTTCATATCTTTTGTCAGTGATTTGCCTATTATAGCCTAATATTACTTTAGGAATTTTTTTAAATTTCTGGAATGAATTTATAATTGGAAATAGTGTCTTAATTTTCAATACAGCAATCTACATTGCTAACCTTGCAGATGGAATGTAATAGATGATTGATCCCGTATGCTGGTCTTTAAATGAATTTCTGTTTCTATTTACCTTGGATAGGTGAAAAACCATTTGAATGTCCAAATTGCCATGAACGTTTTGCTCGGAACAGCACCCTCAAATGTCATTTGACAGCATGCCAGTCTGGTGCAGGTGCTAAAAAGGGACGGAAGAAGCTTTATGAATGCCAGGTTGGTAACAAAGAAAATGATTGGGTTTGAATTTCTAATGTCATAGCAGCAAAATTATGGAGGAATTTGATGGAGGAACAACACGATCCTCTGCGGTTCTAACTAGTGAGGGATAACAGTACTCTTTTCATACCTTCCTAAGCATCTAGTAGGAAACTGTGATCAAAGCTGAGGAACTACCTGAATGGCTAATGGGTATCTCCTTGATGTTGCTCTTCTTCCAGGATATTGATTTCTTCGAAGAGGGGGAAGATTTTTTTTAAAAAAATATACTACTTTGCCCTCAACTCTAGGGTAATACAACCTTTTGGCTGTATTCAGGAATATGCTGACCGTTGGGTGGCCTGAGCTGTGCTTTAAAACTAGATAAGGCAATGCCTCTTTTTTTTTTCATGAGTTGGGGATTTTGAAAGAATAAAATGGATATTTAAACGTTTTGCAAAGCTTAAAACTCCCCAAACCCTGTATACAGGCAGGTAGGGGAAACTCCCAGTTTTTGTCCATTCCACTTTTTTATAGCAAATCTACATATATTTTTTCTTCAATTTCCTTGCTGTTACTCTGTATTCAGTAAACCAGGGGTGTCAAACTCAAGGCCTGCGGGTCGGATCTGACCCGCGGGGTGCTTAGATGTGGCCAGTGGGGCTGCCCTGGAATCAGCGGACCGGCCTGCAGTGCTTCTGTGCCCTCCCCCCTCGAGCTCTGTTTTTGCTGCCAGAGGGCTGCAGGAGGCCATTACAGCCAAAAACGGAACCTCAACAAGTGACATCGAGCTGGCTACGTCCACCCTGGCCATGCTTACCCCGACCATGCTCACCTCCGGCCCCTTGGGGTCAAACACAACCCTGATGTGGTCCTCAATGAAATCGAGTTTGACACCCCTGCAGTAAACAGAAGCTTTATTATGTCTCCTTCAGACAAGTTTGATTCTTGGTGATGTCATGTCCTCACCCCCACCCACCCCAGCATATTTACATTGTTTATATTTTATTACATCTAATTCAGGGGATTCCTGGCAGCTCACATTATACTCTGGGAGTAGTTTGCCATTGCCTTCTTCCGGGATGATTTTCCAATTTTCCAGTCTAATTCACATTTTCTGAAAATCTCCAATCTAGCAGGACCCATTGCTGCTTAGCTTCTTAGCTTGAATGAGGCTGCCACTTGCTGGGAACAAAAATTCATTGCCTGTGGTCATATCAGGATAACAATATTCTCTGTTGACAATGAATCACGAGACAGGATCTCTTTGTGTGTATTTAAACCACAATCCTGTTTTTTTATGGGGGGATCCACAGTGCCAAGAGACATAATGACTTAGCACATTAAATAAAAAGTATTGCCTTGTTTGAGGGAGGGAGGGAGGGAGGGAGGAAGGAAGGACGGACAGACAGATGGATGCCAGATCAGCCTATTTGCAGGGTCCTTCCACTCTATTGAATCTCCTCTAGACCTTTCTGTTTTGGGGTTCAGCACCTTAAAAAAAAATCCTTAAAACCTGAAATGGTTTGACATTTGTCAGGAGGTGGTCTAGTCCTAAATCACGCCTGGTTTATTCTTGAACTATTTCCAGTTCTCAGAATTTACTATAGAAGACAGCTGAATTGGCTAGTTGGATTGGTTTGGTATGATATGGAGGAGGCTTAGATTGATTCAAGGGAAACAGAATATGGCAGAGTGCTGTAGAAGAGTATGTTTTTGGATCAATTGAATTTGCACATCCCAAATCATCAGCCGTATATTAAATGTTTAAATAGCTTTCCTAAAATCACTCTGCCTTGCTCTTTCAGGTCTGCAACAGTGTGTTTAACAGCTGGGATCAGTTCAAGGACCATTTGGTAATACACACAGGTGACAAACCCAACCACTGTACCTTATGTGATGTTTGGTTCATGCAAGGCAGTGAACTCCGGCGGCATCTGCAAGATATGCACAACATTTCAGAGCGAATAGTATCTGAGGATATTCTTCCAGTGGACAGTGATCCAGTGGCATCCATGACAATTATAGAGCAGGTGGAACAAGTTCATGTCTTGCCCGTAATTCAGGTCCAGGTGGATCCAGCCCAAGTGACTGTAGAACAGGTACATCCAGATTTGATACAGAATAATCAAGAAAAACATGAACAAATAGCAGAGCTACAAGAGCAGGTTGAAATAAGCTACTTAGAGGTTGAACACATTCAGACTGAACAAGGTACTGAAGTACATATGGAAGAGCTGGATGTGGAACATGTGAACCAGTTACAAATGGAAGAAGTTCAGGCTCATCTTATGGAGGAACATGATTTAGAACAGGGAGAGTCAGTGCCCATGGATCAAGAACTGACAGCAAGCACATCTATTCAGGTGGACGAGGTAGAAGCACATGGAGCAGATCATGAAGAATCTGATGATTTAAAAACTCAGCCAATAATGGCAACGCAAGAGGAAAAGGAGGAGAGCTAAACAATTTTGATTGCATTATATGTGATTTGGGGGGGAAAAAGTTAATACCAAATTATTTTTGTTAAATTACTTGTTTGACTTTTGCCCTACCCATGGGACAGCTCTCTTATATCGGTGCCCTTAGGGAAGTGGACAGGTGGACCAAAGTTAGAATATTTGATTGAACTCCCCTTCTTTATTTCTAGGAAGGAAAAAACCCTTTTGTGTGTGTGTGTTTTCTTAAAATAAAATACCATGGAGCAAAGGCTATTCTGGAGATGAACAGCTTTGTGTGAAGTTTAATTGTAGAGTTTTGCTAGATTATACTGTTTTGTCATTGTGAGAAATTTCTGAAGCAAGTTCTATTTTCCTTTCAGAATATGAGTTTAGTGTTAAAATGGCAATGTTAGTATGGATTATCTATAAATTTGGGTAATCTGCTTTAAGAAAAAAGATATTTTTCCTTCTTTCCCATTTAATATTTTGAAGTAGCTGCATTATTTGCTGATGTTCCTAACTTTAAGCACTATTTTCAAGGTCTAGAAGATTATTGGGATGGAGGTAGAGTGTGCTTAGGTTTTGTGAATACAACAAAAAAAAAACCTTCGTGCCTTCACACAATAAATAATTAAACTTCCACAAAGCTTTTACAATTCTTACAAAGCTAATACAAAAGGCAGTGTACATAGTACTGTATAGTGCTTTGTAATCTTGCTTACAATTGTTCGCTATCAGGGTTTTTTTCTGCATTAAAATAAAATTGGATGGGAGAAAATGGATTGAACACTGGCAATTTTAAGGGCCAATTATACTGGGAAAATGCATCTGCATCTGTAACAAGATATGAGTTGGCTAATAGGTTGCACTGGCATCACCAGATTTTTATTTTTTAGGAAAAAAGGTACATTTTATATTTAAAGGAAAAACATTAAAAATACGAAGTAAATGTGTCTACGCAATGCATCAGGCTACTGTTTTATTATTTAAACTTTATGACCCATGATTGAAAGATCTTGTGCTTAAAAGGTTTGAAAAAAATCCAAAGCCATAAGTATGAGTGTTTTAACTGTGGATTTACAGACGTAGGAGTGTAAATATTTTAATCAGTATTATTGGACAATAAAACAGTACCTATCATAAGCTTTCAGTCAATGCAGTACTATTTTCTTTGGGGATGGATATAGTTTTGAGGGGGGAGGGATTAATTTTTCATCACTGTAAATTCCACAGCTACTTTTTTAGAAGCTGACCAGCCTTCAGTTAGATACATTTCACTTAGACCAGCTCTGAGAATTGCGGAAAGTGGAATCAATACATTTTGAGGTTACCTGGGTTGGAGAATGCTTCTCTCTAAGAAATTGCAGTCAATCCTGATTCTTCGACAACCATATGGACTTATTACATCTGTCTTCAGTTCGTTAGTGCCAACCAAAGACTTTTTGTTATCTGAAGTGATGCCTTCAATCTTTGTCTTATATGTTAAAAATTGATGGGAGACCCATAGTTACCAGGCAAATTAAGACTTGTAATTTCCATAGTCCCTAAATTTGATGACACTTTGAAATTCAACATTTGGAAGACTGTCCCTGCTTTGGAAAAATATATACTACCAGTACTACCCGTACAGTGGCCTCTGGGAGCAGGGGGGCTCACCAGATTAGAATGCTGGGCTGGCAATCGGCAGCTTCACTTTCGAGATATATTGCTGCTGTGGGGCGGGGTGAGTTCCCCTCACACACTAGCTCCCACTGACCCAACAGTTCAAAAGCGGGTGACCGCAAGTAGATGAGTACCACTTTGGTGAGCAATTTCACAGGGATACAAATGGAACTCAATGCAGTCCTCAATGGAAATGAATCAACATAGAGGGAAGTATGCAGTTGGGTACCCCAAGGCTCTGTTTTAAGCCCAGTACTCTTTTAACATCTTCATCAACGATCTGGATGAATGGATAGATGGGGAACTCATCAAATTTGCAGACGACACCAAGCTAGCAGGAATAGCCAACACTCCAGAAGATAGGCTTAAGATACAGAAGGATCTTGACAAACTTGAACATTGGGCACTATCTAACAAAATGGTGTTTTTCATTGGTGAAAAAAGTAAGGTTCTACATTTAGGCAAGAAAAACAAAATGCACAAGTACATTTGGTACCTCACCCAGTAGTAGTAACTGTGAGAGGGATCTTGGAGTCCTAGAGGACAACCATTTAGATATGAGCCAGCAGTGTGCAGCAGCTGCCAAAAAAGCCAACACAGTTCTAGGCTACATAAACGGATAGAATCAAGACCACATGAAGTGTTAATACCACTTTATAATGCCTTAGTAAGGCTACACTTAGAATACTGCATTCAGTTTTGGTCGCCACGATGTAAAAAAGATGAGACTCTAGAAAGAGTGCAGAGAAGAGCAACAAAGATGATTAGAGGACTGGAGGCTAAAATATATAGAGAACAGTTGCAGGAACTGGGTATGTCTAGCTTAATGAAAAGGACTAGGGGAGACATGATAGCAATGTTCCAATATCTCAGGGGCTGCCACAAAGAAGGAGTCAAGCTATTCTCCAGAGCACCTGAGGGCAGGACAAGAAGCAATGGGTGGAAACTAATCAAGGAGAGAAGCAACTTAGAACTAAGGAAATTTCCTGAAAATTAGAACAATTAATCAGTGGAACAACTTACCTCTAGAAGTAAATGCTCCAACACTGGACGTTTTTAAGAAGAGATTGGATAACCATTTGTCTGAAATGGTTTAGGGTTTCCTGCCTAAGCAGGGGGTTAGACTAGAAGACCTCCAAGGTCCCTTCCAACTCTTGTTATTCTATTCAAAAGAAGCCCCCAAGGGCTACGGTGCTGTCACCGGCATATCCTTTCACTACGGAAGCACTGGTGTTTCTGACATGGACATATTAGTATAGTAGCCACATTTTTTTGGAAAAAATAAAAGACAAACTTGAATAGGACAAATCTGAAAGAGGTTCATAAGGATAAAAAAAAAATCTCACTCTTGGCCCAAGCCACATTACAAAGTTGTTGTGGATAGGACAACAAATAGGAGGCATGAGTATTAAGTAAGCTACCTTGGGTTGATCAAGTATAAATCTTTATTAAAAAGACAGGATAAAAATCTATTCATCATACTAGGTTATTCTCGTAGGAGTGGGCAAGTTACAAAATTAAATGGTGAGTCAGGGCTGCGGAGAACAGAAGAGGCACAAAAGAACTATTTCATGTAAATTGATTCCCATTCATGCAAAGCTAAGCCTCATATTAATCAAGGTTTGTTGAATAAACCACAGTTAGCATCTTGGGGTCACGTCATCACTACAAATTTCCATGGCAACTTCTGACAATATGAATGGGAGAACCTGAATTTGCTTAAGACCACATGATTCATTTAACTGCAGTGATTCACTTCAATGTGGCAATGGGATCATAAAATCAGGTGGAACTTACTTAACAACCACTTTGCTTAGCAACAACAGGAACCAGAAATTGTGGTCCTAAAACAAGGACTACTACTTGCACTGCATCTCTGCTCATGGTTTTCTGCAGAATTTTAATAATCGGCTTGGGTGGGAACAGCCAAATAAGGCACCCCAGCCCTGGCTATGATGCAGGACAGCTCCTCTTATGCTTTTGATTACAAGTGGCATCTTGCTCGACCACATGATCTCCATGAAGGCGATCCATTCCAACACCGGACACCATCGGTTGGAGGAAAAAAAATAGGTCACCATTCAATCCCTGCCTGCTCCCTATGGAACCAAAGTTAGCAGGTTGAAGATGGAGGGACGGTTGCAGTTCTGCCTGCTTTATGACATGGGAGGCTATTAACAGGCAGCCCACTCCATGTTGTTATTTTTTTTTTAAAAAAAAAATAGAGTGGGCTGCCTGTTAATAACCTCCGGTGTCATGGGCAGAACTGCAACCGTCCCTCTCTTCAACCAGCTAACTTTGGTTCCATAGGGCATGAGTCCAGAGATATTTCACCAGAAGGGTTCTCCACTCCTCACAACAGAATACCTTATGACACTAGACTTGAATTTATGGGTTTAGACAACTTAGAACTACGCTGCCTTCGGTCTGACCTAAAAGTAGTAAATAAAATTATTCACTACAATATCCTACCTGTCAATGACTACTTCAGCTTCAACCACAACAATACAAGAGCATGCAATAGATACAAACTTAAGATAAACTGCACCAAACTCGATTGCAGGAAATACGACTTCAGCAAGAGTGGTCAATGCCTGGAATACAGTACCTGACTCTGTGGTTTCTTCCCGAAACCCCTGTAACTTTAACCTTAGACTGTCTACTGTTGACCTCACCCCATTCCTAAGAGGTCTGTAAGGAGCATGCATAAGCGCACCAACGTGCCTACCGCCCCTGTCCGAATGCCCCCCTTTTATTTATAATACATTTCATTACACTGTTATCTTCCCACCCAATAGGTGGTCCCTATTTTTTCTGCTTGCATTTTTTTTTGCGTGGTTTCAGACTGCTGGGTTGGCAGAAGCTGGGACAAGTAACGGGGATCTGTTACACGGCACTAGGGATTCGAACCGCTGAACTGCAGACCTTTCCATCGACAAGCTCAGCATCTTAGCCACTGAGCCACCACGTCCCTCTGCATGTATTAATAACCATGTTTATATCTATATATATATCTATATATCTATATCAATATATCTATATCTATCTATCTATATCTATCTCTGTTATCTAATACTGCTTGACAAAATAAATAAATAAATAAAATAAAAAAATAAAAAAACCTTGGCAACTTTAAGCCTGGCGGACTTCAACTCCCAGAATTCCCCAGCCAGCAAATCTATATATCTATCTATATCTATCTATATCTGTTATCTAATACTGCTTGACAAAATAAATAAATAAATAATAATAATAATAATAAAAACCTTGGCAACTTTAAGCCTGGCCGACTTCAACTCCCAGTTGAAGTCCGCCAGGCTTAAAGTTGCCAAGGTTGGAGTCCCCTGCCATAGGGAGCAGGCAGGGGTCGAATGGCGACCTAGGCAGAGCTGCAACCGTCGCTCTCCTCCACCAGCCGCCCGTTAATTCGCGCTGATTCCACGTGGCCGGACGCCTCCTCTCGGCTCTCCTGACCTGAGGCGCTCTCCCTTTTCTCGCGGCAGGCTGGCACACGCGAAGCTATCGGCCGGTCTCCCCAGCCCGGAGGTGGCTTCTCTCAACTGCCGGCGTCGGGCGAGGCGGGAGCCGCTCTTCGCCTTCTCCTCCTCCTCCTCCTCCTGACGGCTTCGTTCCCGGGTCAAGCGAGGCAAGCGAGGACAGGGCGGCTCTCGGGAGGCGAGGAAGTAAGTTGGAGTTGAGCCTGGAAGGACTGAAGGGTCAGGGAGTGTCCTCTTCTCCTCATCTGCATGAATAAGAAAAAAAATTTTTTTTATTTCATGTTTATTTATTCATTCTTCTTCTTCCATATATGAATAAGAATTATAATACATTCAAACCTATCACACAAGGATTGTGAAAACTTGACCTGAAGGATGGGGAAGTGAAGCTTTCCCAAGGCGGTTTGCCTTCCAGCCAAAGGTGCTAAAATTTATTACGCCTCTTATTTGGCATCAAAACAATAAGCAGGAAACTATTCTTGGGAATTAAGGCTCAGGCGGCAACTGCCCTGTTTGTCTTGACTGGGCAATTAAAGATAATACAGAGCCACATCTTCCTAATATGTAAATATACACACACACGCGCATGTCTGTGTCATCCTCACAGTGTCCAGGTACGCCTACAGGAAACATAGGAAGCTGCCTGTGGATGCATGTATTTTTGGGATAACCTGAATTTTATTTTAACGTGCTTGATCAAGTGTTTAAGGGTGTGGTGTGTTTGTCTTAACTAGGTAGGTCTGAAATTCTGTTACTGTAAAATTTTTCTGTTATTATTATTACAATTCGTTTTGAATCCAAGTTAATATCATTAGCAATGTTGTTTTTCATTTGTAATACTAGTTTTAGATTAGATCCTGTGCAAAGTTTCTTTGTGAATGTAAAATTCCTCTAAATATCCAGTATTTTAATTATCTACAAGCATCCAAGAGGAATCCATGTAAGGAAACCAAGTTCTGTGAGCTTCACAGATGATGCTTTAAA